GGGGATTATAGGGTTTAGGGTTTCCCAAAATTAGGGGTACCATTTTGGGGGTCCCACTAATAAGGATTCTAGTATTTTGGGGTCTATATTGGGGTCCCCCTATTTGGGGAAACTACCATTTAGAATGTGCAGCATACACACATTTCATGGCGGTACCGCTGAGCCGCTTTCTAAGATTTGCGTAGGCCTCAGGCTGTATACTTTGCTCCTGCGCGTGCCTGTAGCTTGTGCTCACATGTGACTCGCCGGCAGGAAGTGCAAAATCGGTCTGCCAATCATTCACGCAGAGATTAACGGGGATGAATTAGGAGGATCCCCCACCCTGTAATAATAGTGGTATAATAGGAATATAAGAGGACCCGAATATAGTTACCGTTATCCCTTATAATCACTATTACAGGGTGGGGGGTCCTCCTAACGTATGAAGATCCGCAGTGGCAGCTTGTACCTGGCGGTGGTAATTTTGAAAGAAATTCAGCCGAACTCTTTGGTACGATCAGCTCCCATGAACGGTCTGAGCCTAGTGCAAGCGGAATAAGCGTATACCCACATCAACGCATATAGTCCCCTTAAGTAGATAGAATATGGGGTATATGGGGATCTTATTATATTATACCCAAGGCATTTTGTTTATCTACGTAAGGGGGACTACAGCGACTTTGTCCTCATATTACTTGATGACATGGTGTACATGTCTGCATATTTCGTGAGTAGCCTAGCACCCTACACCCAAAAGTGTTGCTGAGAGGCACAGCGAGACCAGCGAGGATTTGCCAGGGGTCGAGGTCATCGAGCTCAGAGATGTGGATGAGGACACTAGACTACGCTTTAGTGTTAGCGTTTTGGGTTCTGCTCTAAATTATTTTCAAATTTTTGGGCGTAGTGCTTGGAGATTTGGATATAGGATGTCAGGATATGTCAGGTATCACGTGGATTGGTGCTCCTTAGTTAAGCTATATGCCACACAAGGTGATCCCCGTAGCCGTAGACATGGCTTGAGGAGTCCATTGCAGATCGTGTGCAAAAAAAACAGAAGGCTGACAAGTGGCCAAGATTGTCGCCTTTAACCCTCTCCTCCGGCCCCTACATCGCGCCATGTTATCCATGAGTTGTGATCGTTGGGGAGCATACGTTTTTTTTCCGAACATAGGGCCCATTCTTGGGTTCGGAGATTTTCAAGTCAAAGTGTGTAAGCAAAATCGCTGAGTGGGGCCCTTCAATTCTTCTCATAACCGTCACATATTTCTCGCATTGCCAGGGCCTAGGCCCAGTATGAAAACCCAGATCAAGCCTGAAACCTGTTTCTACGGGCAGTCAGGAGGAAAGGACTGAAGATAAGGGGGCTATTAGAAAGCATTATATGTGGATTAGTGCTAATTTCTCCATGCACTTTTGGAAGCTGACCACCAATAATCCTGAATCCTTGGCACGAAGCCGTTAACGCTTTTCAATCCTGCTAGCCCGCCAGTCCATGCTCCCAGCGTTTTTCAACAAGGGTTTAAACGGGTTCCCGCAAAGCGGTTTAGGGTTTAAAAAAGCCAGCTAGCTCGAGAGACTGTTATGCAATGATTCGCTGCCTTCCAGCTGCAGGAGGTTGAAGTAGAAAGACTGCCTGGTCAGGCGCGGTCGTTCGCCAAAGCCATTGAATAAGTATAGGTAAGCAATGGTAAGCACTCGATTTCAATCCCAAGATCTAAACCCTAAACCCAGTGGAGCTGAGGTAGCGATTGAGGCGAATCCTAAACCCTCAGTAAACTGTAAACTAGGTGTATGACCTGAGGTTTTTGTTGGGGGGGTTGAAGGCTTACGGGGTTCTAGGCCTGAGTTGTGAACTTACAGTTGTTTCGGATGTTCAGGCTTGAATAGTTTGGGGTTTAGGGTTTGTGGCGTAAGGGTTCCAGATTTGGATTTTCGACCCGAAGCCCCTAAACCTTAAACCTTCAAACCCTAGCCCCCTAAACCCCTAAACCCTTAACCTAAACCCCAAAGCCCTAAACTCTTTTTCCTTTCTGCGCACATTCCAGTCATCCTAAGTTCCTGGCCTCCTCCTACGGTTGATACTATCTAAGGCTTTAAGTTTTGGTTTTTGGGTTTAGGGCTCAGGGTTCAGGGTTTTAGGGTTTTAGGGTTTAGGGTTTAGGGCTTCGGGCTTAGGGTTTAGGGGTTTCGGGGTTAGGGCCTAGGGGTTTAGGGGTTTCTTAGGGGTTTAGTGGTTTACCCTAAACCCTAAACCCTAAACCTTAACCTAAACGGTTTAGGTTGGAGGTCCATGGCTGGTTACAGCCCGCTTAGTACGCCACCATCAGCCCCCCAAGTCCCCCAGTGTGGTGCAATTCGGTCATAACTCCCTTTGTAATGGGTATGTTATAGATAACTATGGATGTCCGTGTAGGATTTTCAGGAGGAAGTACCTACCCCCACCTTTAGAGACTGGAGGACCAAGAGCGGACATCGCTCTCAAGACGAGGTGGGGTATTAGGCTTCAGTATACCCACCCCTAAGGGTCCAAGGACCCAAATAGTAGGGCTTTAGGGCCCAATTACTATAATATTCATGGTGCTCGGGCCCTAAAACCCTATTATTTGGGGTCCTATATACCCCTACATAGTCCCTATACATCCCTTTATGTCCCTAGAACCCCTTTAAAGGGGCC